AGATAAACTTACCTTTAGAAATATCTGTAAGTTTTGTTGTTATATTTTTGTCAACGTCAAGAACTTTCACCATTTCAGTTATACCAACTTTCTTTGCTTTATGGAAATATTTTGGTTCAGCAAATATTGCTATTCTATAACATTTACCATTGTTTGTGTAAAGAACTATTCTGTCAATGTATTTGTATTGTTTGTGTGTGTAAACTTTGTTCTGCTTCAATTCGAAGAGATACTCGAATACGTCCATCTTTTTATTCTAAGTAAAATGTCATTTCCGAAAAATAGAAGCGTAAGTGTTTCAAAAGGTTTAATGGCGGTGGCAGATGTGAAGTTAAATTCACCAACTCAAACAAACAGTCAAAGTGTTATTGTCAATGTCAAAGACAGAGATGTTGAAGTGGGGAAACCATACGAGGACGAAGATGGTATAGCAATTGTTCCTGTAAAAGAACAACCAACATATCCTGAAGTTAGCAGAGACTTAAGTTCTGTTGCAGATATTCGAAACGACTACCAACAACTGAAAGACAAACTTCAAACTCAGGAGAAGATTTGTCAAGCTTTAAGTATAATGTTAAACTTGGTCGAACACAACCCTGTAAAAGTGAACTCATATGTCATTGCACCTCATGAAGTTTTAAAGAACTATTGAAACTTTTGACAGAGGCAGACGATATAAACATCAAAGAAATAGAACCCGACATTAGTTGCTGTGGTGTTTCATATAATGTCATTGACAAGATATACGTTATGAAAGGAGGTGAAACGTTGAACTTAAAGTATAGTTTCCCAGACGTCATAAAAATATTTGACGACCACAACATTTCATTAAAGTTTATTTGCTAAGTAAAAATGTCAAAACTTCTTGAAAGATGTTTGAAGAAAAATAATATAGACTTTATTTCATGTAAAGGACTTTACACACTTTTGAACGATATGAAAGACCCTGTTTTGTTTGTTCGTGTAGACAAAGGAAAGTTCTATGTCTTTACAAAATATTTGAACTTCTTAGACAGAGAACTTCAAGAAACGCCATGTGAAAGTTTAGATGAAGTTCTTCTCCACTTTCAGAAAAACTTTTAAATATATATAAATGGCAGAAGATATAATGGTTTATACTATTACGACTAAAAACCCTGAGTCATATAATTCTATAACAACAAACTTACAAAGTCCTCAAGGACGATATTGTAAACTAACCTTAAACACAATGACGACTAAAGCCTGTTTTGCTCTTTGACACCAGAAGACTTTATTGTTGTGAATGGTAAAAAAATACTCCTTTGAAGATACTTACTCAGATATACACCAACAGGTTTTGTTGACTTATTTAATACTTTAAGTACGGGTGTAACATGTGCTGCAACTAGAGCAGGTTTCATTATGTTTGGATGTCCGACTGAGTTTACTATAAACGATATGAGCTATAATACAAAACTTATTTCTGGTTTTTACTACCAACAGTTTCCTATAACAGGAAAAGGTGTCATACAAGGAATGTCTATTCCATTGACATTAAGCACACCAATCTTATATATTTTTCAAACTTAGGTTCAAAGTGTTATTCGAATGTCGACAGAAACTATTATGACCAAAAGATACTTATGCGTATAAACAATACTTTCTCTGCTGGTTTGCCTATTGTTCATTCGAATGCAGAATTTTCAACCTTAGTGAACTCAAACACTTTGGCAAGTATAACGTTGACATTAGTTGACGCAAACTTTGTTCCTGTAAAACTTTTATGTCCTATGTATTTGTCAATGACGGCAGAAAGTTTCGAATTGGAAGATGCAACTGGTGAAAGTATTGTATTACAAGAACAACTTCAACAACAAATAGCTCAAGAACAACAAATGCAACAAATGGAACAACAAAGTCAAGAATAAAAAAAATATTTTTTTATTTTTATAAAAATGTACAGAATAGATGTTTCAGATTTTTATGACTTCCAAGCATTCAGAAATATGTGTCCATTTCGAGACTATAACAAAGCAGTCGAGAATTTGAAACGTTTAGTCATTTATGTCGACTCTGCCCCAGAATGTTATGTTATGAAAGAATGGGATGTTGTCTTTAACAAACCAAGAGCAACAATAGTGTCTGAACAAGAATGTAGACAGAAACTTAAGAAAATAAAAGTTGTACAAGTTGGAATGAAGATGTTAGATGCTTGGGATATCTTATTGTCAAAGTTAGAAGATTTTTCAGTTCGAGGTATAAAGTTTTATACACCTTCTCCAAACTTCTATTCTATCTTCACTGGATATAAATACGAACAAGTAGAATGGAAAGAAAATATTATAGAAGCTTGGTTAGACCATGTCAAAGAAATTATATGCAATGGAAACGAAAAGGTTTATGAGTATATCTTATGTTGGTTTGCAAATATCTTACAACATCCAAGTGCTAAAAATGAAACTGCTCTCATTATAATTGGAAAACAAGGAACTGGTAAGAACACATTCTTTACAGATATCTTATGCAAACTATTAGAGGGCTATTCGAACCCTAATATGACAAACTTAGAAAACATCTGCGGTAAATTTAACTCCTCAATAGAGAATATGAAACTTATAGTTTGCAATGAACTTCAAAGTATAGATACAACAAAAGTTTTAAACTCAGATGCTTTGAAGAGTCTTATAACAGACAAAGTTGGAGTTGTTGAAAGAAAATATAAAGACCAAAGAGTTTGTGAAAATGTTGCAAACTTCATTATGGTTTCAAACAATACTGTTCCGATGAAGTTAGAAAGTTCTGACAGAAGATATGTAGTTGTCAGAACGTCAGATTCTCATATGCAAGATACAGAATATTTTGACGACTTAGCAGAAACTTTGACATCTGACTTTTACAACCACTTGTTCTCATATTTTATGACATTAGATATTTCAAAGTTCAATCCAAGACAAATTCCACATACCGAAGAGAGACAAACATTGTTAGAAGCAAACAAGAGTGTATATGAACTGTTCATAGATGAAACTGACTTTGAGTGTTTAGATGAAAGGTCATTGTACGATTCGTATAAACAATATTGTCAAGAATATGGTTATATGACAGCTTCTAAACGAACATTCTTGGCAAATGTCAAAAGTCTTTTAGACGTAAGAATGGTGTATATACAAAGAAAAATTTTTCTGAGTAAATTTTAAAAAAAAATATTTTTTTATCCGATAGAAAAGATGACAAAATTCATCTCAGTAAACAAGTACATGTCAGGACTTAAAGAAGAACTAGACCCATTCACATATTTGAATGTTTACTTCTACCATTTTGAAAAGTCTTCATTCAGCAAAGTTTGGAACATCGAACCAGTTAAGTTTGCTATTGTGACTAAAAATGGTGCGAAATTTGAAGACTTAGACATAGAAGGTTTGTTAGCAGTCAAAGAAAGTTTTGACAGAAGGTTTTCAAACCTTAAAGAAGGCAAAGCATACAAACTTGTTATACCTTATGAACCAAAGAAAGCAGACGACTATGAATATTATGAGTCTAAGATAGTTGAAGTTCAAGGTAAATTGGGTAAAAAGATTTTAGAGTCTAAGCCAGTGTTTGCTCCTAAAGAGGAAGAGAACATTGACATTGACCCAGAAATGTTCTAAAAATAAAATTTTATTTTTACATGTCAAATTTCTTTTTCTCTGGAACTGGTTCAGGTTCTTTCTTCTCTTCTACTTTCTTTTCTTTCTTTTCTTTCTTCTTCTTTTCTGGTGGAGTTATGTCAAATTTCTCCGAACCATATTTATGTAAAAGTTCTTTGTCCTTTAATAGCTCATCTATTCTGTTTTCTATTTCATCTTCAAGAACAGCGCATGTGTCTTCTTTGCATTCTAAGAACTTTTGTTGGACTTCATCTTTCCAATCGGCGTCATCTCTGTCAACAAGTCTGTCATTGACAAATTTTAAGACTGCTCTGCTTAATGTTTTATGGTTCTTGTCATATTCCCAGAAACAGAACTTTAGAACAAATTCACCTTTCTTGTTTACACTATGTAAGATTTTATGGTCGACAGATGTTTTGCTGTCGAAAAGCTTGTCTCGAATATAGATAGCGAAATCGCTAGACATTTTCTAAAAGATAAAAATTTTAATTTTTCTAAAAATATGTTAGAAAAAAAGTTTGCTGACATTGACAAGAAATTTGAGAATGTTTTAAACAAGAACAAGAGGAAGTTAGAAAATGCTCAGATAAAGCCTATACATGACAAGTTCTTATTTGCTCAGAATGATATAACAGGTCTAATTGCACCACCTGGGTCGGGTAAGACTTTCACTTATCTTAAAATGGCTGCACAACAAAAGAACTAGATGAGAAGAACCCATTCTATGAGTTAGTTGTTATTTGTAGTACTTCTGGTCAATTTGACCAAACCGTCAATTCGTTCAAAGATATTATAAAGAAGTCTAAGTTAGTATGTATAAAGGATACTGAGTTGTTAGATTGGATAAAGAAGTACCAAAGAAGAGTTTTGAAGTATAATGCTATAAATGAGTATATAAATTCGAAGTTTAAAGACCCAAATGAGGAAATGCAGAGAATATTAGAGAAGAAACACTTCAGAAACAAACAGAAAGAGATAGAATACATTTCGAAGAAATTGCAATCTTACGATTGGAAAACGTACCCTCATAGATGTCTTCTTATCTTAGATGATTTCGCCTCTCATCCTTTGTTAAAGAACAGAGAACAAGATATGTGTCGAATTCTTAAGAAGCTCAGACACTTTAACATTTCAGTTGTCATTTGTGTACAGACAGCAAAGAGTTTAAGTAAGGATGTTAAAAGAATACTTACTGACATTATACTTTTCCCGGATTGTCCGAAGACGATTTCATGGAACTTATGAAAGAGTCCATGGCAGGTAAGTTTGACAGATATGAACTATGGGAGAAGTATAAAGTCATACAAGACCCTCATACTTCTTTCAGAATTCATATCTACGCGAACAAAGTTCAAATTGTAAAAAGTCAAGCTTGAAAAATAAATGGTTCATTTACTCTACTTGTTTGAAGTTGTCAAAATACTCTGTTATTTTTTCCTTTAACAATGGCAAATCTTCTTTGAAGGTAAGTATTGTACAACCTTTCATATCATAGTGTGTTTGAGGTAACGTATCTTGAACTATTTGTTTCACATCTTCATTTGGGGTCATTGAAATCGGTAAGTTTTCGCGATAGAACCAATTTCTGTCAGATTTGTAAATCTTAGCAAGGTCGTAAAAGCTTTTGTTGTTTCTTCTGACTAAATGCAACATAACCATATCTTTATCTTCTTCATTTTCCATCTCTTCAGTATAAATCATATACTTATAGTTCTTTTCCTTTCCTTTTGGTACCGAACGTGGTATTCTTTTCTGAATGCTTTTGTCTTTTGCTTCAAGCTTGTTCTCTAGCTCTTCACGTTCTTGTCTATGAATTTCATCTAACATCATGAAAATATAACAAGCGTAACGAGGTGAAGCCCACATTGCAACAGCATTTACAAGAAGTCTATGTACATACCAGCCTCTCAAACCATTTAGCAAATTTTTACGATTTTCGTACGGAATCTCGACCGCGGTTTTCCTCGGGTCGCAAACATATGAGGAAATTCTTCTAAAAGTTCTTTTGTCTGTTGGTTTTCAAACCAATGATGTGCTTGCTTTGTAGAACGAAGAGCATTCAAAATACTTTGCATTTGGTACATGTCATCTTTGACTGAACGAATGAGACGTAACTGTTTGTTATACTGTATGTACTCGTATTCTTCATTTATAGCTTCATGGACTATAACTGTTGTTGTGTTCTCGGTTGTTGACATATCTGTCCTTACATACAAAATAAAAAAATAAATAAAAATAAAACTAACTTTATTTTTTCTATCTTAAGGAAATTCATGATTTTCATAGAGTTTTGGCGACCCAGATAAAAGTCGGTCTCGCTGTGCTTCATGATTTTCATAGAGTTTTGGCGACTACGTTTTTTAACGTACTCGCTGTTCTTCACTGTTTTCATACGGAATTCAGCAAAAATATATTTTAGGGTAGAAGGTTAGATCTAACACGTTTTCTACCCTCGTGAATTTTCATGACTTCTTCGTAAATGTTTTGTCAAGACTTCTTCGTAAATGTTTTGTCAAACATGAACGTACATGTTTTGTCAAAACTTCTTCGTAAATGTTTTGTCATGACTTCTTCGTACATGCTTTGTCAAGACTTCTTCATCGTAATGAGCGTAAATGTTTTGTCAAGACTTCTTCGTAAATGTTTTGTCAAAACTTCTTCGTAAATGTTTTGTCGAAACTTCTTCGTAATGAGCGTAAATCAGACAAAAATAATGTTTAGGTGAAGAGGTGCGATCTCACCTGTTTTTTCACCTGTTTTCTCACAAGCGTTTTACATGGTAAACGTTATTTTTACATGTATTTTTCAGCAACTTCGTCAAATAATTTTATAGCTTTATCTATCTCATCTACTTCAAACGTTTCTTTACCTTTCGTGGGAGCACCATACATTTTCTCAAACTTTTCGAGTAGTTCTGTTTCAGCAGCTCTCATATCGTTAACGAACACAACCTTGACTATATTGACTGTACTCTCATATCTTTGAGTTATATTATATGTTCTTCCTATCTTATATCTTTGTGTTGAAGTCCTTCGGTTTCTGAACGATGTAAAGTAAGCCTTCACTGCAACGTTCCGTATCGAATGAACCATATGTTATGAAGTTATATCCAACAACTGGGTCTAACCATAACAAAACTATTGGTATAGACTTTTGTCGATGAATATGCTGTAGTTCCATAGAATTTTACCGATATCATAAGCTCAGGATTTTTGTCAAAATTTTCTGAGTTGAAGCAATTCCAACCCAATGGTATGTTTTCTTTCCAGATGGAGATAAAATGTCTGACAAAGAATATTTGTTGTATTTCTTTGAGTATCTTACGTTTAAATCACCTATTCTAACCAATTTGGTGTCATTGTCTATCTTTTTAACTGTTTCAAACTCAGTGTTTGTCATATATGTCTTTACATACAAAATAAAAAAAATATTTTACAAAAAACTAACTTTATTTTTTCTATCTTGTATAAAAGATATGATTTCAGGGATTTTTTTGACGAAGTGCAAAAGTTCTCTTCGTAAAAAAATAACAGTTATATAATGAAATTTGGTCATTTTTTCACGATTTTCATGAGTTTTAGGCGACCCCGAAAAAAAGTCTGGGTCGCAATTTTCACGATTTTCATGAGTTTTAGGCGAGTAAGATTTTCTATCTTGTATAAAATATATGATTTCAGGATTTTTTTTACGAAGTGCAAAAGTTCTCTTCGTAAAAAAATAACAGTTATATAATGAAATTTGGTCATTTTTTCACGATTTTCATGAGTTTAGGCGACCAGGTTTTTTCCCTACTCGCAATTTTTTACGATTTCGTACGGAATCTCTACCCGCGGTTTTCCTCGGGTAGCAAACATATGAGGAAATTCATGAAATTTGGTCATTTTTTTACGATTTTCATGAGTTTATGCTAGACCGAAAAAAGTCGGTCTAGAGAAATTTCACTCAAAAGTTCTTGTGTGCTTTGGTTTTTGAACCAATGTCTGTATGTTTGGTTTCTGAACGATGTAAAGTAAGCCTTCACTGCAACTGCATTTACTAATAGTCTATGTACATACCAACCTCTTAAATTTATTGGCAATTTTTTACGATTTTCGTACGGAATCTCTACCCTCGGTTTTCCTCGGGTAGCAAACATATGAGGAAATTCATGAAATTTGGTCATTTTTTTCAGCAAAAATAATGTTTAGGTGAAGAGGTTAGATCTAACCTGTTTTCTAACCTGTTTTCTACCCCAGTTATTTTATAAGCGTTTCACATGGTAAACGTTATTTTTGGAATTTTGTGAAAACTCAACGGTTTGACACAAGCCCTAAAAATTATTTTACTCAGAATTTTGGTCATTTTTCAGCAAAAATAATGTTTAGGTGAAGTGGTGAGATCTCACCTGTTTTCTCACCTGTTTTTTCACCTCTTTTTTTCACAAGCGTTTTACATGAATTGTACGATGTATATTTGAAATCCTAAACAGTTTTGTAGCTTCTATTTCTTCTTTTAGTACATCGAATGTTTTAACAATGCCGAAGGTTTCTTTATACTTCTTCTTGACGTCAGATAGAAGGAAATCGTCAGCAGTTGGATAGTTTTTGTTCAGAAATTCTAACATGTCCATTTTATTTTCTGCTGGCTTTTCTGCTTCTTTCTTTAAGTCTGCATAGTCGTTTCTCATTCTTTCTATCTCTTTGACGGAGTAGTTATATTTCCTCATTGCCGCTTTACATTTAGAACATTGCGGGTTCATTTTTGCGTTATACATTGAAATAAAACCAGCTAAAACAACTAAAGCGTCAATGGTTTTCTTTAAATCTGAAGCAGTTGGTTTTATCTGTTCATTCCATACCTTACCTCTTCTATCTTTATCTCTTATCTGCCATACACATTCAGCAACTAACGAAACAAAGTTGTCGTAGGTCTTAAACTCCCCGGATTTATATATGTCAGAGATGTTCTTATATACCATGTCGCAATCTTTGTCCATAACTTTATGGTTGCAATGAAAACCAAGGAATTCATAATTTACCTTTCGTATGAACTTCTTTATTTCTACTGAGTCAGTTGCTTTGACTTCAATTTCGTCGAATTCAGGAATAGTGAGCTTTTGTTGTTGGATTTCAGGCAATTTGGGTAAATGGTCAATAATGTCCTGCATGTCATAAAGATACTGTTCATTTTCTTCATCTTTCGCACTACAGTCTAAATTACTTGTTAAAAGTTCTTGCTTTATCTTCTGGATTTCTGTTTCGAAAGTATATGAAGAAGGAATGAAGCTTTTCATTTCTACTAACATAGATGTTGGATTCATGACTAACGAGTTTGGTGCTGTTGTTTGAATTGTTGTTGTGCCGATTGTTGACATTTCTGTTCTTACATACAAAATAAAAAAATAAAAAAAAATAAAACTAACTTTATTTTTTATTTCGGGAAAATTCATGAAAATTCAAGAGGTGAAAAAAGAGGTGAAAAAACAGGTGAGATCTCACCTCTTCACCTAAACATTATTTTTGGGTCCTTTACACTCATTACGAAGAAGTCTTGACAAAACATTTACGAAGAAGTCATGAAAATTCAAGAGGTGAAAAAAGAGGTGAAAAAACATTTACGAAGAAGTCTTGACAAAACATTTACGAAGAAGTCATGAAAATTCAAGAGGTGAAAAAAGAGGTGAAAAAACAGGTGAGATCTAACCATCTACCCGACATTCTCGTCAAATACAAAAAAATGACACTTTTTCATTAGATAACTGTTATTTTTTGACGAAGTGAAGGTTTGCACTTCGTCAAAAAAATCCCTGAAATCATATCTTTTATACAAAAAAATACAAAAAATGACACTTTTTCATTAGATAACTGTTATTTTTTGACGAAGTGAAGGTTTGCACTTCGTCAAAAAAATCCCTGAAATCATATCTTTTATACAAAAAAATACAAAATAAAACTAACTTTATTTTTTCTATCTTAAGGAAATTCATGAAAATTCAAGAGGTGAAAAAAGAGGTGAAAAAACAGGTTAGATCTAACCTTCTACCCTAAATTATATTTTTGGGTCCTTTACACTCATTACGAAGAAGTCTTGACAAAACATGTACGAAGAAGTTTCGACAAAACATTTACGTTCATGTTTGACAAAGCATATACGAAGAAGTTTCGACAAAACATTTACGAAGAAGTCTTGACAAAACATGTACGATGAAATCATGAAAATTCAAGAGGTGAAAAAAGAGGTGAGAAAACAGGTGAGATCTCACCTCTTCACCTAAATTATATTTTTGGGTCCTTTACACTCATTACGAAGAAGTCTTGACAAAACATTTACGAAGAAGTCATGACAAAACATTTACGAAGAAGTCATGACAAAACATTTACGAAGAAGTTTTGACAAATCATTTACGATGAAATCATGACAAAACATTTACACTCATTACGATGAAGAAGTCTTGACAAAACATTTACGAAGAAGTCTTGACAAATCATTTACGATGAAATCATGACAAATTCAAGAGGTGAAAAAAGAGGTGAAAAAACAGGTGAGATCTAACCTTCTACCCTAAATTATATTTTTGGGTCCTTTACACTCATTTACGAAGAAGTCTTGACAAAACATTTACGAAGAAGTCATGACAAAACATTTACGAAGAAGTCATGACAAAACATTTACGAAGAAGTCATGACAAAACATTTACGATGAAGTCATGAAAATTCAAGAGGGTAGAAAACAGGTTAGAAAACAGGTTAGATCTAACCTTCTACCCTAAATTATATTTTTGGTCCGGGAACAACTTTCTCTCAATTGGAGCTGTAGCATACTCTTTGCGTAAACGGTTCAGACCTTCTTCGAACTCTTGGTCTCTCTTCGATTTGGATTGAGATTGGAATTGCTGGGGTGGAGCTTGCTGGAACATCCAAGGGTTGGGGAAGTAAGGCATAGGCAGAGGAGGGTAGTTCGAGAAGCCTTGTGGTGGGTAGTAACCTTGAGGTGGAAATTGGTAGTAAATCGGAGGTACTTGCTGGAACTGAGGTTGCTGAGGAGACTGTTGTGGTTTCTTTAGGTTCCTCTGGTTGGAATGGACTGGGTTGGTGGGACGTGGGACATTCGTTTGTGGCTTAACCGTCGGACCACCAACGATAAAAATCTCTGCTACTAGCAGTACTCTACTGACAGTAGCAGTACTTTTACTGACAGTAGCAGTACTTTTACTGACAGTAGCAGTACTTTTCTGACAGTAGCAGTACTTTTTCTGACAGTAGCAGTACTTTTACTGACAGTAGCAGTACTTTACTGACAGTAGCAGTACTTTATCGTCGAAAACCCTCTCAAATTTCCTTTTTACTGACAGTAGCAGTACTTTTACTGACAGTAGCAGTACTTTTACTGACAGTAGCAGTACTTTTACTGACAGTAGCAGAGATTTTTATCGTCCAACTTTACAAATGTAAACTTATATCGTTCTATTTTCTTCACTAGGGTCTAACACCAAAAGTAACCTTACAAATGTAAAACTTATATCGTTCTATTTTCTTCACTAGGGTCTAACACCAAAGTAACCTTACAAATGTAAACTTATATCGTTCTATTTTCTTCACTAGGGTCTAACACCAAAGTAACCTATTGTACATGAAATTTCACTGCATAAAAGGAAAAAACCTGCGCGAATCGGGATTTGAACCGAGGTCTTCGACGCCTTTAACGAGGTAGCCCATACCACTGAGCTATGAGCCGCTTGCATATTCACAAAAATAAATTGTTTTCATGAGTTTTCTACGATGTTAGAAAAAATGTTATTTTCTAATATCTTCACATTCAATACTTTTTCAGCACTTTTCCGTAGTTATATATGAAAGACAATTCGAGATAAAAGTCATAGTACAATGGAATAATATGTTGCACACCATTTGTTGTGAACCAAACTTGAAAGTCAGAGAAACTGTTACTAGGTGGTTCGTAGAATTTAGAAGCAAAGTCATAAAAGTCCTTACCAATACATAGAAAACTATTGTTGCTTGAACTGAAACTTGCATGACACATAACATTTTGAGGGTCAAACACGTTTCTATAAACTGTCAAATCTGCTGGTGGAAGTATAAATTGAAATGGACCATCTGGTGGTAATGGTTCGTTCTGGTTTAGTAACCGAAGAAATTGTGCCCAAGAACGTTTGTCTACTTTCCAAAATAAAAACTCTGTATCTCTTGGAGGGTTAATTTCAATCTTTTGAAATGAAACGGTGGAGTTCATCTTGTCATATTCTAGTTTCAGATAGTATGTTCCATTTAGTAAAGAGTCGTATTTTTCTTGAAATTCCCAATAATATTTGTTCATTTGAGTTTGAAAGTCATTTAGAGTTTTCTCAAGACTTTCGTCTGAACGAACTGTAAAGATTCTCATTTCGTCAAATTTGTCTATTAGACCATCAGAACCTTTATACTGCCCATGAAAATATACTGCGAACATAAATGCGTTAGTTCTATTTGAAAACAAAACTCTTCTAAATCCTATTGCCTTTGCATCTGAAGGACTTTGAAGCCAACGAATTGGATAGTCAAACCTGTATGCTCGGGATGAAATTTCTTCATCTGAAATAGTCCTACCAGCATTTGTAAAGATATAGTCTAACGGTTTTGTATCTGCTACTTTTGTTCTTTGTTTTTCAACCTGAAGCATTTAATATATGTAAAAATATATTGTTTTAAAATGGTATGCCATTTCATATTTCTCATCTAACAAACAAGTTTCCCAACGGTCTTCTCCAACAAACTCAGCGTACATTTCAAATAAAATTAAAAAATGTCACTTTTTTGAAAATAAATTTTTACTTCATGCAATGTTTTATTTCTGTGCCGTCTTCAAGTATGCCCCAGTACTTACGCTTGGAGAGGACATGAACTTCGGAAAATACCTTATCTAGCTTAAAACAGCCCATCTTCTTCACCGACTAAACCCATTTCAATGAGTTTGTTGTATCCTTCTTCGTTCGTCATGAGTGCGTCAATGTTCTCATAGTAAACCTTCACTTTGGATTTGACTTCGGAGAAGAATTTGTTGTAGTTGTCAAGGACTGCCTTTGCGAACTGAGGGTAAGACCAATGTTCGACAATAGGTTTTAATGTGGTTACTAAGCCACTTTGACCTTGAGTGAATTCGTACTTCAAAACAAAAGGAGAAAACCTTTCAACAAAGTTGTCGACCTTCTCATAATGTTTACTCTTCATCTCTTGAGGTTTCTTAATGGAATATCCCCATGTCGAATTCATAAGCAATTTGAGTGTCATTGCAAGTTTGGGGTTTGAAGCTTTCCTAATATCATACAGTTGTTGTATGACTTTTCCAACTGTATAGTTCCTTCCCGGGAACTCACCATCTTCGTTTGGAATTCCAGTCGGAATATATTGGACAAACCTCATGTATGCAGCGTTAAGGTCGACATAGTATATCTTTTCATCTGAGTCGAACTTGTCGCAACCAATTGGTCCAGTTTGTGGAAATTCAAGTGAGTCTCTTATCTTCTGAGAAACTTCTCCTGTTATCTCATAAACATCGTCGAAGCAACCTGTTTCATATAAAACCTTCTGACCTAACTCAGATGCTCTCCAATACAATTTGACGTCAATTGGATGTCTCAATGGAAGTTTGCTTATAGCATCTTGAAGTTCTTGCAACCTCATTGGAAGTTCTTCTGGTTCAGGTTGGTATCCGAACAATCCAACTCCTTGTGGAATTGTGTACTTCTTTTGTACTAGAACTTTGTCTGGAACAACTTTT